TCATCATCATCATCATCATCATCATCATCATCATCATCATCATCATCTTTCTTTTTTTTTCTTTCTCTACGCTCATCGAGTGATGATAGCGTGGATCCATTGATCCGCCTGGTCCCCGAAGGGACGAGCCAGCCTCAGCAGTTAGCTGAAGGTCAAATCTGGCAAGCGTGCCAGATTCGATCTGGCAGAACTTGGCTGGCCTTTTCGCAATGCCAAGTGCAAAATGCCAAATTGGCGTAGGCATGGACACGGGTGGTCCTCAGACAGCTCAGTCGTGTAGTATGGCTGGCAGGCACACCACCTGGTTGGGTGTGCTTTGGCATTCTTTGGCATTGAAGGCAGCACCACATTTTTCAGCCACCGGCAGGGAGGCCTCCCACAGTTCACGATGTGCGACTTCCAGGTGTGCATTCATGTCACGAGGCCAGCTTTGGCAAATGATGCACTTCTTCACCAGCCTATGACATAGTCCCGGATGATCAACCAGGATGTCAGCATCAAGCCTGTCAATGGCTTGGAGCCATTTGTGATGCCAGTCGTCATTGATGGAGGGGTCATGGATGATGTGCGCAAGCTTCTCCTCCTCAGAGAGAATGGGAGATTCCTCCGTCAATTTTGAGACTGGTTCTGCACCTCCATGCGGCGTGCAGTTGAGCCAAAGAAGACAGCAGTTCTCCTGAATCACAGTGGGGATCCGGTCGAACTTCTCCGGCTTGGAGCCGTCGTCGAAGACCCACCAGAAGCCACCCGCCAGGACCGCCGTGCAATAGTGTCCACAGGTGGGCTCCGAACCCAAATGATAGGATACTGCCGTGACCACAAAGGGAATGTGGTCAATGCCAAGCTTGTTGTTGTAGAAGAAAGGCATCCACACCTTAGAGTCCCAGCTGAGTCTGGTTCGATTTTTCTTGCCCCTCGAGTCGAAGCGATCGATGTGGAGGCATGTGACATCTGCAGGTTCCGTCAACCCATGGAGACCGAAAGATGCCAGGCTCCAGTTTGAAATCAAACCTTGCAGGTCGGTCGGCAGCAATGCATTCTTTTGCTCACTGCAGATGTATAGGTGCAAAGGGCACCCCAGGGCACTTTGATCCACCACTCGGATTTCCCCATCCTGTTCCAGCCGGGATTCCCAACAACAACTGAGAAAGTTGGGGTTCAGCTGTTGAAGAAGGTGATGAGCAAAATCAACGACATCATGTTGTCTAAAAGGTTCCGGCCACGTGGAAAGTAAGGTGGTCCATTGCCCATCGGCCCACAATAGAAGTGGTGCTCCCTCTGGTGACACATCTGCAATGGTTTCAAAGACCCTCGGAAAGTTGGACCAGTGGTCCTCACTCAAGCCTCCTGCCCATTGAGCACTCCACACCAATCCCGTGACCACCGAGTTCATGTAGCAAGCTGATGCCGGATTCGTCAGTGGTCTCAGTGGTGCCTGATCAGGCTGGATCAGAGGTCCCCAAGCAGTTTGCCCAGGTGTTGTGCTAGAGGTGTCCTGTGCTGAGTCGCTGGTCGCATCCGGCCCAAGATCAGTTGCCAAAGCCCAGAGTGGCTTAGCTGATGCCAAAGTCCCCTCATCTCGGTGGAGTGTGGGTTGGTCAAGGCCAAGGTGACCCGCCATGGAATCACGGTGGAGGGCTTGTCGGTGTCCGTGGTCATGACTTTCTGAATCTGTTGTGCCGGACGCAGGGCCCCAAAGCGCTTGATCAGGTCCTCCTGTTGCAAGAGAGTGAGCATCCGAGATAGGGTGTGCAGAGCCTGCTGGACTGTGAGTGGAGCATCCTCTTGGGCTTCCATCACCTGCTTCTGATGATCCCACTTCATCCTTGGGAAGGAGAATTGGTTCCCATTCTCCGGGTCGATCTTCAGGAATCCCAGGCGTTGTAATGTTTGGATCAAGGGATCTGAGCAAGCCGTGGATTGAAGTTTCTGTGCCCTCTTCACCAATTCTTCCAGCAGTGCCTTCAGAACCAGGATCCTCAATGGATGTGTCCTCTCGCTTTGTGGTGTCTGGTGCCAGGTTGTGGTCTGAGTCATCATGCAAGGTAGGATGGACCCTGGGCCCGCGCTCAAAAAAACGAAGAAGTCCGTCTCCGTGGCCAGACACTGGAGGGTGTCTTCGTGCCTTAGCACTAGCCTGCTCAGCACCTGCAGCAGGTTGTTTGTGTTGGGTGTGAACTCTCCAGTGGTGTTCTGGTTCTTCACCTGGCCTTTTCTTCCTTTTCCTTTTCCCTGCCCCTTCCCTCCATTCGACGTGATGGATCGGGGCCTCTTGGCACTCTTCTCCTCGTCGACCTCCATCTTGACCCATTGGTTCAGTGCTCCCCACATCTCGGAGACTTCCCCCGTCTCCATGTCCATGATGAAGGATGGCAAGCAGTGAGGCCAGTTGCAGGAGAATCGGGCACTGAGCTGCGGTGGGATGACACTTGCAAATTGAGCAGATTGTTTGCTTCACTTGAAACATGGTGAGGTACTTGTAAAACAGACTGCCCCGGTTGGCGTGTTTGGCATGTTGATTCCACAGGTGTTGAAGCATGTCACGTGGATCAATTTGCCTCCCGCACAGACAACACCAGGTGCTAAGGGCTGTGCAAAGCGTGTCATCCTCAATGAGCTCTGCAAAGAGGCCAGTGGCAAGCTTGCTGTCCAGGTCTGGGAAGGAGAGCGATATGGTAGGGCTCAGGACTTGTAGATCAAGCCGAAGAGCAAAGGACATGATCACATCGTCACTGCCTCCATGAAGTCTGGTCAGATCATGGTGAACAAAGAGGGCCAGCTGGGTAAAGACTGTGCAAACATGTGGTGTTTTCGGCGGCCGGAGGCATGAGCAGCCCAGGTTCCGCAAGGCACTATCCGTTTGAAGCCATTCAGCATAGGAGGTGGCTTGAGGCCAGTGCTCATTGTGATGGTTCCCCAGGTGTTTCAGCAAGGAAACTGAGCTCCCAGACTGATGTCCACAAAGCCCGCAGATATATCCAAGTCGTCGAATCAGGGACTTGTAGGCCATGAGATGGTCAAAGGTCCCGCCATGAAGTCCAGAGATAATCAACGGATGATGCCACAGGAGTGGCGGGTCTTCATCTGGTGGAGTGGAGCAGTGACCACCATCAATGTGGTGCCGGAGAGCAGCCAGACTCAGGAACTTGGATTGACAGTGTGCACATTGGGTCTGCCCAGGTACCTGATCTCGGCCCGCAACAAAGGTCCTGGTCGTCGTGGAGTGAGTATGATCCATGACCTGATGCTGATGAAGGCCTGCTGCGGTCACAAACTTCCGAGGGCAAAGTCCACAGGAGAATTGGGCTTCCATCCGCTGTGGAGGTTGTGGAACAGGAGGAAGACTAGCCGGGAATTGCTCCCGGTGCTTCCGGTAGGCCAAGGCAAGGCCAAGCTGCTTCTTCACTGGACATGTGTGAGTCCGGCTCCGAAAGGCTTGTTCACATAGTTCACAAGGAGAGGTGGCTCGAGCCCTCACCACATTGGGGAGAACGTCCCCCATGAGAGCATAGATGTCACCATGATCTCTCCCCGTGTGTGCAGACATTTGCTGAAGTCTCGATGACCAAAATCCACAAAGTATGCACCTCTGGGAAAGAAAGTAGCATAGTGGACGATCTCTAACCAGTGGTTCAAGGTCTCCACCATCATAGTAGTCCAGCAGCCGAGTCCGGAAGGCATGTAGTTGTTCCGGAGGTGCCTTGGTTGGATCGAAGTTGTTACATGCGAACGAGGAGATGTGATGTCGGAAGTTCTGCCAGCTAATGAAATGTTCTCCACAATGTCTGCAGGTTGGTCTGCCATCAATCGAGTCTCTACCAATATCCAGAGGAGGACCATTGGTATGAAGAATCCCATGCGAAAAGGTTTCATGTCTTTTGAGTGTATAGAAGTGCCGAAACGTAAGCCCACAGGTGTAACATTCCAGTCCGGCCTCTGCAAGAGATAGAGAATTGCCCGGTTCTGAGGTGCTGAGTTCCTGCAGCCATGTGTCAACAAGATTGATTGAGCATCGAAGGGAGTCCAAGTCCAAAGTGTGAAGAACATCCATCTCATGCAGTTGAACAAGTCTTGCCTCGTGTCGGTGTAGTTGAGAGGCCATCCGCCCCCGCAGCACAGCAACCGGGTGTTGCAGGTGGTGCTCAAGAAAGAAGGCATGATGTGACTTGTGAGTCTGAAATGAGTGATCTCCTGCTGCTTGTCTCATCATGGTGGTCATGGCCTTGGAGAATATGGGAATACTGGTGCTGTCAGTACCCGTTGCGTCAAGTCCATAGATCCCTATGGGAAGAATGCATGTTTGCCATAGAGCCACCTTCTGTGCCGCGTGCATGGAGTTCTTGGAGAACCAACGATGCATTTGTTTGAATCGAAGTTTGCTTGCTTGAAGTCTGGCCTTCATCGTATCACGCTGAAAATTAAAATATCCCATCTGAATTCCAAGATATTCGTGCTTCTCTTTGATTGGAATTTCATGAAATGTGCCATCATCTTTCGGAATACGGAGTGCTTGATGTTCCAGCTTCCTTTTCACATACAGCTTCCGCGCTTGTTGGTGTTTTGTGCCACCCCAGCGTACAACAACAGCTGACTTGTGCATATTCACGGTCATGCCCAGTTGTTCCAGAGTGGTGATCAGCTTCCCAAAACAAACCAACCCAAAGTGAAGTTCATCAAAATCATGAAATATAAAGCAGGCATGCCCGTCATCGGCATAAAAGGTGCAGCATTCCCTCATCCAAATGGTAGAGGTCTCCGCCGCCACACGTTCAAGTGCCAGTGCTATAAAGCATGCCCAAAAGAAGGGTGCACCCCTGCAGCCTTGTCTCACACCTCTATGAGTGGGTTGGACGGCAGAGAGTCCTTTCCATTGAACAATGTATGAGGTTTCTGTATGCCAACACAACAGCAGAGCGGAGAGATCTTGGGGAAGACCAAGTAGTTTAAAGGCCTCTTGCAGGTGTTCCCTGGGCATTGCATCAAATGCGCCCGTCATGTCAAGAAAAAGTTGACATCCACCAAAGACCTGGGGTTTTGTCTCCCCAGGTGCCTGTACTTTGCCAGCCTCATATCGCCATTTGTGATGAAGTGCTTGAACTGCCCTGGCGTGAGCTTGGACACGTGAGATGGCTTCCCAAGTGCCTCTCCCAGGCAAATAAGCAAATTGTGGATACCATGTAAGAGCACGAAGAGCATGTTTTTTGGCTTCGTGAACAAACATTGACATGATGGTCTTCGAAAGAGGTGTTTGTAAGGCAATGGGCCTCAAAGCTTTGGGTTCAGTGACCTTCTTGTTGGGCTTGGGAAGTAGAACTACCCATCCTGTCCGCCATTCACTGGGGATGTGACCTGCAGCCATCCATTGGGAGAGCCAGGAGTAGAGCAAGCTCCCCAGTTCCTCAGCCATGGATTTCCAAATGAAGCTGGGCGCCACATGCGCAGGGACACTGGTGTGTCCATACAAGGAGCGCAGTGAGTGTGTGATGTCACCTGGTCCAAATGGCAGTGCATGAAGTTGAAAGTTGACTCCTTGCAGGTCAGTCCCCTCATAAACCCCTTCCATGTAGTCAAGAATCCACCTCAGTTCATCTTCAGGGGACATGAGCATGCCCTCATTCTTTCGAAGTTGAGGACGTGGGGGTCGGTGTTTGGGCGTCAAGGAGTTGACCACCTTGAAGTAGCGTCGGGTGTCGTTGGTGGGCCAGTGATGCCTGGCGGTGTCAATGGTGTCCTGGAGTTTCTGTTTTTTCGCTTCTCTGGCCGATTTGGAGGCCACCCTCCGCCACTTTTGAATCCGAGTCACTCGAAGCCAAGAGCCAAAGATTTGCTCCTGCTTGGATGAGTGGTGAGCCCGCTGAGCAATATCAGGAAGGTGGAGCCGGGAGAGTGTGGAGGCCCAGGACCAATAGTTGGTTGTTGAAGGTTTGTCTGACTTCCCAGAAGGCTGGAATGAGAGACATGCATCCATCAAAACCTGATTGAGAGCCTCCAAATTTGGTGTTTGATCCCGAAGATTATCGATTCGGGTGCCGAGGTCCTGACGCCAGTGGTGCCAATCCGTGCTCTGAAGGTGCCAGTGCCGTTGAAGAAGATCTTGTTGGATCCGGTTCAGACCCAAGGGAGGGTGCTTCCACCCCCTCCATTTGTAGGGAAGATTGAACAGAATCGGCACATGATCCTTGGTGTGGCCAAACTTGCCTGGAAGGTGTTCCAGGTAGATAGGTTTCTTCGTGATGGAATCACTGGTTTTGCGCCGGACCATGACATAGTCAATCCGAGATAGATGCCCCTGGCCACCCTGGTAGGTGGGACCAAGCGAGGTGTCCCAAGTGTTGATGGCCAGGAGCCCTCTTCTGGGTAGAATGTCAGCCAAGAGCTGTGCATCCTGATGTTGAGTGCCAGAAAGTCGCCCTCGTCGGCCTTGAAAGTCATGAAGTCCGACACAGTGCGGTGTCCGAGGCAAACTGCTATTGAAGTCACCTGCTAAAATGACCACATTCCTTTGGGGGAGACCTGCCAAAAGGCCATCCAGCGTGTCCAGAAGTCCAGAGCGTTTGTCCCTGCATTGCTGGTCAGATCCAGTCCATGGATGCTGGTAGAAGTTGACCAGGTCAAGGCCCGTGGAGTCGAGGTAAAGCCGGGCATGCAGAAGCCGCCCAGGAGAGACCTCTCGCCAGGAGAGCCTATCTGGAGGGCAGAAGGCCTTCCGGATGATGGTAAGAAGCCCTCCTGCTCGATCATGAGATCCACTGTGGATATATGCAAAGGTGTTATCAGTCCAGTCACCTGTGAATCCCCATCTGGTGTCTTGAAGTTGAATCAGGTCAAGTTGCTGTTGATGCATCCATTGCCGGAGGATGTCAAATTTGAAGGTGCCCAGGGAGCCGATGTTCCAGCTAAGTCCTTGAAGCCTGTTCTTCCGTAGTTTGGCAGGTGGTGATGAGTTGGGTTGCCCCAAGGAAGTCATTGGAGTGTCAGAGACCTGCCAGGGAAGTGGTGTGACTCCAAGCATCTGAGCCGTATAGAGCTTCCCTTTGTACCATGTGTGCCCATGAAGTTGGGCCCGCTTGAGTGCACGAATGTAGGATTTCTTCTTGGGAAAGTGCTGGCTATTGTCCAGACGTTGGTGTGTGGATCCAAGGCCACTTGGCTTTGCCGTATTGGGAAACTGACTGGCAAAGTTCTTGTTGGCTTCACCGGACCTTGTGGCTGGTCCGGAACCCTCGGGCCACCAGGGCATGGCATTGGCATTGAGCGTGGTCATGAAGTCCTCGTGATAGACCCCAAGAAGGCCGCAGAGAAGGAGGAGGAAGGTGCCAGCCCTGGCTGGGGACTTGGGACCCCAGCTAGCTCTAGTAGCAAGTGCAAGGACCTGGGAGGTGGTTCTCCTTGACCGGAATCGTTGTCTTCTCACGGTAGAAGAGTTCTTGTAGGTCTCAAAGCTCAAAAGGAGAATCAGGTAAAAGACCGGAAGGAAGAGAACCACAATCAAAATGACCGTGCCGCCCACGGAGACCGCCTGGAAGAGAGGTCCAGGAGGATTTCCACCAGGTTGGCTGATGAAGTCCCGGTACAGGAGGTCCTCGTGGATCAAGGTGGTCAAAAAGTCCACGTGGACCATGAGGCACGGGGTCCCGCACCAGCCCGTTCCAATTGATGGAATGGGGCTTGAAGCTAGTGGCCCTTATCATCATCATCATCATCATCATCATCATCATCCTCATCCTCATCCTCATCCTCATCCTCATCCTCGTCATCATCTTTTATTTCATACGCTCATCAGTCGATGATCGCGTGGACCCGGGTGGTCCCACCCGGCGCCCCGAAGGGCCTGAAGCCTCAGCTAGTTGAAAGTACGGTCAAGGAGCCGAGCAAGAGTCTCTGGCTTCCTCTTATAAGTGACCGCAACTCCAAATGCAATTTGAAAACTGTCCCTAGCATGAACAGCAGTAGTCCTCATTGAGGCCTGTGCTGTGGAGCAGAAGGCAAACACACCACCGGTGTGCTCGAGTGAAGCTCACCGCACACTTCTCCGCCAAGGGTCCAGCTGCTTCCCACCAGGAAAAGTGAAGTTCTCATGGCCAGCTGCCTCACAGAATGAATTTCCCACAAGTCGGTGGCTCGAGCTGGGGTTGTCCACCGGGATGTTGGTGTCCAGAAGAGCCAGCTCAGAACCACGGCAGGCAACAGTCCTCCTGAGCCACCCATGGCAGCGCTGAGAACTTCACGGTGTCCTTGGCATCATCATAGAACCACCAATTGCCTCCATCTTGGATGTCAATGCAGTAGTGGCCATTGGCAGCATCGAAGCCCAGGTGGTAGAAGACGTCAAGATTCTGAGTGAACCAACGTGGCTGTTGCTTGGAACAATCTTTACAGGCTCGAAGTCGAGCTGTCATGGTGTCACGCTGAACTTGGTGGTCTCCCAATTGAATTTCCAATTGATCGTGCTCCTCGTTGATGGGGGTTGCGGCTGGGAGAAGTTGGCCTCTGTCCCATATGGATCCATAGAGGTGTGCTCGTTGGAGTGCATGGATAGAGGATATCTCCTGGGGATGGGGCTGTATGCCAAGGTCTCCGCTGATGCCTGTAAGCTCGGTGACCATGGTCGTGGCCAGGTGCTAGTAGGGCTGTCCTGGTAGGTGAAATTCTCCCGATGGAGCATGATGTGGATGACAGTCACCGCTACAAGGTGCAGAGTATAGTACCTGAGCTTGTAGTCGTGGAGCTCGGGGAGGAAGAGATCTTGGTCTTGGTGTCCTGCAGAAAATGTGGAGCAAAGTCCCGGTAACCGAGGAGGTCGAGCACCGTGGTGATCAACTTCAGGTTGCCCATGTGTGCGAGGATGGGTCCGCACTATCCCCCGGCACCGCGGGCTGTGGGGATTGAACCGCTCATAGCCCTTCTCGTCGTCATCATCATCATCATCATCGTCATCATCATCATCATCGTCATCATCATCATCATCCTTATCGTCACCATCATCATCGTCGTCATCACGAATCTATCATCCAGCATTTCACCTCGCCACCATCATCACCATCCAACATGATCTCACCAGCATCACCATCATCCTGTTTACGTGTACTCTGCCTGCGCCCGTGGACTCTGACTCTGCCTGCGTTTTCGCCCGTGCCCGGTGGCTGGGACATCTCACCAAGTGGATTGCTTGATGACTGTCTTGATTTGCTTGCCCGATCTTTAGGTCTGCCAGCTTGTTCGCCAACCCAGCGAGCCAACTCGTTTGGGGCCGCCTGGAGCGAATCGACCCACCGAGGTTTTTTCTGGGTGATAGCACCTTCAAAGAGGCGGTGGTGAAGACCTTCTACGTGCCGCTGGTGGTGCTGGCCTACAAGGTTTGCCCTTCGAATTTGGAGGGTACAATCTTCTCCACACTGATCTCCTTGAACTGCATCGGATGCTTTCGCACGGAGGGCGTGTTTTTGCCGAGAGTTCTTTTTTTTGATTCGGGAATGTTGGTTTGGATTCCTTGGTTTCTCCGGCATTTGATTTTCTGCATTTGTTTTTCCGCTTTTCTGTTTGTTTGTGTTTTTTGCGTTCTTTTCTGCGTTGTTGTTTTTCCTGCTTGTGTGTTTTCTTGTTCGTTTTGCTAGTCCCCTCTTCTTTGCTTGGTCACTTTTTGTTGTTTATTGCTTGCTTTTTTGCAAGGCAAGAAGCAAGGAAGAAATCAAGGGAGGCAGCAGGGAAGAATGCGAGCAAACCAGCAACAAAAAAGGAACGCAAAAAGGAGCAGAAGGGAGAAGCACCCTTCCCCCCAAGCAAATTTCCTGCGCCACAAAATCTGCGAGTCCCACACAACGACAGCAGACAAGGATCATTCTTAACAGTTATACCTACACACCGCTTGCATCCGCTTGCAAACACAAGACATGAGAGCTTCCCGTGCCAAAACTTGGCAAAACACTGCATCCTGCCCAGCAGTATGTATGGCAAAACATGTCCCAAAACAAATCCGAACCCCTTGAGGTGACTCAAGACATCTATGTTCGCAAGTGATTCATTTGTGTTGGTTCGAGGAGATCCCCCACCCTACAGCAACAGCTTGTAGTAAACCATATGTCACCCCGATAGCCCGCTGGTAACCCATGAGTTACTCCTACTCGATGAAAAAGGCCTTTTCGGATGAACCTTGCGGACTAAGGAGTTAGCAGCGGAAAGTATTTAGGTATCACTTTGTGCGACGTTTGGGGCATTGTCGACGGCAACTTTGACCACCTACCCCATGGCGTTGTGTCAAAAGCGCTTGTTCGGCTGCTGCCAATCCCGCTCATACTGATGCTGTCACCAGATTTGACCCCTGACGATCCAATTCCTCAGGATCCTCACACGCACAGTCAGCAGAATTGAAATGTTGAAACATGCTTTGCCGCCGTTTGTCTCATTGAATGAGAGCCGGCGGAGGTAATTCAGCAGAATGGTTGCCTCAAGAGGAGTATGGGTACCAACCCATCGGGGCACAGCATTTGTTTGTGTGTTAGTTAGTTAGTTAGTTAGTTAGTTAGTCTGTTAGTGTTCCAGAGTTCTCTGAGACAGATCTGTAATTCAACTTTATTGTAAAGACATGTAAAGACCGCTTCATGACCGGGGATCCGAACAAAGGAGTCCCTGGTTTACAGCTTTGTCGCGTGGCCGGCTTCACGGGGTCCCAGGCCAGTCAGGCCAGTTCGCCACCTGTTCCAAACCCGGCGGTGCGATACGGTGCAATGCGAAGCAGGTGGAGAAATGGTGGCTGAAGGTGATGCCCCTGTCACCGGCTATATTGGAATGTTGGGAGGATGTTGTAGTTGTATACAGTTGTGTCATGTTGTTTATGTTCTTTCAGCCTGTACTCGAGTAACGTCCCACTCACTACAGTGATATGTTCACTTGGCTTGAAAGGACCAGCCAGCTGTGATGAGTGAAAATGCTCAATTGAGCTACGTGTTTTTTGAAATGATTGAATTTAGAATTTAGATGAATTTAGATAAGAGCGCACCTCCATGTTTGCTTGCGAAGGCATAAGTTTCGTATCATTCAGCATTGCGTAGGCTTGAGTGGGCATTATGTGGAGAACCTTGTGTTGAGGTTGGCGTAGGCTCTATTTCCAATTAATGTCGACTTGTATGAAAGCTTTAAATCAGCACCAGTGAGTGCAACACTGGGTTTGAAAGGGGTGATATGAAGTTGTGGGTAGGGGACTAGGTCCTTCTGGTTGCACCAGTAGCACATTGCCCATCGTCTCTATGCATGGACTGCTTTCTAATGTCGAGCCTTCTGAGAAGGCAGGTTCGTTTCCCAGTCCCAAGGCTTCCCCCGCGAAGGCGCTCGCGCAGGACAGGCGTAGGCAAACAGTAGCTTTTCCATCCGCTAGCCCTTCGTCATCTCAAGTTTGGTCTTTAGCGCTTATGTGGGTAGCCTTGCGTCACCATGTTTGCTTGCAAGAAGACTTGGTCAGATTTCACTGTATGATATCAGAAGTCATCACACTGCTAAAACACATCGTGGACCGGAGCGCATAAAGTGTCAATCAAACTGGCCATGTCTTGTCTGTGAGCATGGAAGGCCCAGCCAGCAAGAGCAAGAAAAACACGTGCAGCCTGCCAAACCTGTTGAGACAGAGAAATGAGATAGACACCCTGCTCTTCAAGACCATTGCTCGCCTGCAGAAGGCTGCGGCACAGAACCGGCACCAAGTCCATCTTCAGCAAGTGTGTTTGCTTCCAGCTTTTCCTCGCCACCCTCCTGGACCTAGCGGCTAGCGCCGAAAAGGTCCCTCGCGCAAGCGCTGGCGAAGCCACCAGTTGCGCCCCTTTTCAGAAACGTGTTCCCTGAGTAGGCTGCCGTGTATGCACCCCAAAATTGCAAGCTCCACAAGCTACAAGCCCCCCAAAAAATTAACAGCTCGACTGGTTGGCGCGTCCAACAGAACCGGGGTGATGTTGCAGTTCACTCACTACGTGACCGCATATTGGCCAGTCACTCGCCTTTGCGAGAGAGAGAGAGTGAGTGAGTGAGTGAGTGAGTCACTATGGATGGGATGACAGGGTGCTGCAACCCATACACCCACCGTGGGTCATTCCTCTACTAAATTCGGACCTTACCCATCCTTTGAAAACCAAGTGATGTGCGTCAATGCAGCAGTCCACACGATGACGAGTCCGCATAATCAGTTGGACACGGGACAGTGGCCTTACGCCAGGCGGTTTTTCAAATCGTATGAGGTGGGTATTGATTAGACTGGACGCTACTATGGCTCAGGCATACTCAGCCGGAAGGCATCAAAGAGCCATGGTTTCCGCTGACACTGAAAATGCCGAAGGTCCCGTTCTCTTGGGACAGAGGACCCCGCGTGTTGGGGATCTCACTAGGTCTTGCACATTGGGATCTCGAAACAACTTGATGAGACTTCCCAAACTCACCTCAGATGAATAAATGAACAGTTTGAGGTCCATTAGAGAAAGACATCCAACTGCTTTTTTCTTGGATAGGATCCCACAGCACGACCTGGAAGATGAGAAAGATCTCAACGTCAGCGCGAAAGGAGATCCCGCATGTCAACAGATTCCTGTGCAAGGCTGGGGTGATATGGCAGCCTTGCAAGACTTCAGGGCGTTAATAGCCACAAAGGATGGCCCAGCTTTGTTCAGCTTCTTTCGTCTTTCACAGGACGAGCTTGCAGCACGCCGTGTCTCGGATGGTTCCAGATGCTCTACGCGACCTTTGGCTCCTTTGTACCACTGGGTATGCTGGTCTATGGGTTGCAAGAGAGTTTTGCGAAAAGCTCTGGTGACTTCGCTTGCAAGTACTACATGATGGATGTGCTGAAACTTGACGGTGCCACAATGGGAAGGTCGGGTGTTATAAGTGATAGTGTTGTTTGGTGTGTTTGGATTTCTCAAGTGGTGTCAACACGCCCACGATGCTCGGCAGGCTGCAGACCGCTGCACATGTCCCTTAGGACATCAAACCTGTGCTTGGAATGTGCTCGGATGCCTTGCCGCTCTGGGGATTTCACCGAACATCGTGCTTTCCGCAAAACATGGGGCCATGGTTTTTTATGTGTTTACCCATGTTGCTCCATGTGTTTTTTGGGGTCTTTCAGATTTGGTGGCAAGGGTCACAAGTTTGTAAGGTACCTGGTCTGCGCTTGCGTATTCAGCATTTGCCTTTACTTGTGGGTTGGCTTCAACGCCGTGTCTGCACTGGGCCTCTTCGCATATTTGACTGGCCTTAATCTAGCAATCGCTTTTGCGGAGCTTTGGCTGCAACATGCCCATGTTGTGGGATTAAATCACGGAAGCTGGCCAAGTACTATCTAAGCGCAACAACTTGCCATTCCTTTTGAGGTTTTTGTTCTGTTGCAGCTGCATTCATATTACCACTACCCAAACCATCTACAGAATTTAAACGATTTAAAGATCTATGCGAACAGTGGCAAAACCTTCGCGCACACACACACACACACACACTGGTGTTTGTTTCTTTGACGTCCAGTCTGCAACTTTGACGCTCTGCTGGATCGCCCGCGCCTCGTTGCCAGGACTTGGTGATCGATGCTACCGCCGCCAGCCTCGCGAAGGATCACCCGAAGGCAGCGTCTGACACTTGGCCTTTGCGCTGGGTCCTGGCGATGGGAAACTGAGAAATTCTGCTTCCTTTGGACCAAGCTGCACCCTCACTTGTGGCAAGCCTCCTCCCTGAGCCGTTCAGAGTCCTACGTCCCTCTCCTATGTCCTCTTAGGACATGCAGACCGCATTGAGGGTTGCAGAGGCGTCAGGCGGCATGGCAGCCAGCAGCATCAAGGGATATCTCGTGGCTGTCTTGGGCTCACGTGGCACCATGATGAGCAATGTGGTTTGCGCGGCCCTCCGGATGCAATCGTTGAACCCTGTTGTAAGAAGTGTTGTATGATTGTGGGTGTGTAAGCGTTTGATCAATGCATCCATATGCATCCCAGCCTTCAGGCAGGTCAGGTTTCCTAGCCCTACATGCAAGATTCCATGCCAACCGCTGATGGTAAGGTTGCCGTGTTCATTCCGGCCATAAGACGCTGGCTGCCAGAAGAGCAGCTACTTGGCGGCCGCTGCACTCCAAAACTGCACCTCGATCTGCAGGGGCTTTGCAATATTGGCACTGTGAGTGGCGTTGTAGAATGTGCGGAGTCCTTGTTGGCCGAACTACTTCCGATCGCTCACCTAGCTGTGGCGGTCAGCTTGTTTTTTGTTTCGGGTGTCACGCACCGTCACCGTCGTTTTCGACAGGTCCGAAGATGTCGAGATGATATTAGCAGAGTTGGAAAACGCCATGGTTTCGTGTGGGGGGGTGTGTATATGTTTGAATGGTGCTTCGAAGATGTTACATCACACTGTCTGTGCATGTTGATGTGATCGGGGGTGGGAGCGACATACAGAGATGCCAGTCTGGGTCTCCTTGGAGACCAGTCGCACGGTCTCGAATGATGCTTGGCGCAGTGGAGCAGCGCAAGGAACCTTGCGCAAGCGACAGGCGGTTTTGATGCGCAGTCGGTGGAGTAGAAGCATGGAGAAAACATTTACACGAAACACTGGGGAAAGGGGTTGGAGGGATAAATGACGTTCGTTTGGAGGTGCCACGCAGATGCACGCACATGTTGGAAGATGGGGGGTGGGGAGTAATGACTTTCGTGTAGATGTGCTTCGAAATTAATGCGCAGTTGATGAGGTTCGTTTGTATGCGTTGCGATGATGACGGTGCACCTAAACAAGTTTTATTCGTCCTACATGCGCCCAAACCCCCAATGACAAAATCGTTTTTCTACAAACGCATTCTAAACTCACACCCGCCGTGCAGGGGCATGTTACCACGGTATTGTTGGCCGAACTACTATCAATCACTCACCTAGTTGTTGCGGTCAGTTTTTGAGATTCCATCAAAGGAGCCAATTCCGGAAAAACTCCAGTATCACTGCAGCAACTAGGCAGCAGAAGGTCGTTTCTGGTGGATTGTGGTCTAGGCATGTCGAAGGTGTCCTTGGCAAACCTGAGGTGGCGATATTCCTGTCGGTGGTTGCTGTAGGGCTATCTTTGTCACACATCTTCCTGCAGGAGTGGCGAACCCGAGCAACTTGGGAACAATGCTTGCTCTCCGAAATGCCAAGGAACCCCCGATTATTCCCGAACAAGCAATGTTAGCAAATCAAAAATAACATGCTTAACATTGTTTAACTAAAGGACGGACAAGCCTCAAACGTCTTTGTACTGGGACTGGCCAGTTCTTCCGAGATAGATCCGCAATTCACCACCCACCGTTTGTTGATTAAGGCTTTGGTGACGCTATTTTGCTGCATAGTGGTCACCATCAGCGCTTACAAGGCAGGCTCCCGGGATCGTCAGACCATGTCAGACCGCAGTCGCATGAGAAACTCCAACTGTCAGAGGCGATGAGGAAGATCTCTCCTTTCTTGGCCAATACTGGGATGCTCCTCTTCTGGCGAGCGGTTTTGCAGCCAGGTGCCGGCCGCCCTATCTTTTGGTACACGGTTTTGGGATCTTGACATGGCAAATCCATCACTCCGACGCCAGGTTTGGGGGAGGCGATGTTTGTTTGGATGTCGAAAGATGAAGAAGGCCCTCGCTTTTCTCCACAGCTCATGGGCTTAGCGGATTGCTTTGGGCAAGCTGGCTTCTTGTTGGGCGTGGTGGTCTACAATCGATTCTTGAGGACTTGGAAGTATCGCACCTCAGCCGAACGAAAGGGAACTGTACACTGGAAAGATCAGTGTTTCGAAAATGAGTCACATGAAGTGAGAGCAACTAGACATCTCCAGGGGCATCCCAAGCTTCCCTGGTTTCAGATTTCAGTCATTCTAAGTTTCCCCCCCGCCTGGCTCAGCTTTTCATGTTCAGCTAGCAGGTCGAATCTTCCTGGTGGGGCAGATCATGGTGGTCGCAAGCCAGGTGCTCGACTTCATCTTAGTCATGCGCTGGAATCAGGCGCTGGGGATTCCTGACGTTTTGTGTCTTGGAGCGCGTCAGGAGTGCATCGCCCTAGTCGTTCCCGGCGAGGCTAGGGGGACCGAACACCATGTAGCTTGACCTTCTGGTAGGTCAACCAGATCTGTGATTTGGGGATGGGTCAAATACCTTCTGTAGATCTGTGTCGAGTGTTCTAACGTGATTCACCACTATATCCCAAGTACCCAAGCTGAAGGACTTCGATACGTGCGCTCCGACAGGCGCTTCGGTATCGCCAGTACGTGGACCCCTTTGGTATCCAGGTTTTGGCCATGTAACTTCAGCATGACTCAGCTACATTGCCCCGATGGTTCGTTCTTCGCCCCATCGAGGCGGGCCTTTGTTCGTTGCCCCGGCCGAGGTTTTTTCTGGGTGATAGCACCTTCGATCACGCGGTGGCAAAGACCTTCTACGTGCCGCTGGTGGTGCTGGCCTACAAAGTTTGCCCTTCGAATTTGGAGGGCACCATCTTCTCCACACTGATCTCCTTGAATAACATCGGACGCTTTCTTTGTGTGGTTGTCATTGGTGTTCCAAAAAGATCCGCTACCCCCAGGCAAGAGCTTGTAGCAAACCATATGTTACCCCGATCGTCCACTGGCAACCCATGAGTTCCTCCTATACTTGATGAAAATAGTTTGGGACTGTTTGGGATGAATCTTGGAATTTGCGGGCTAAGGAGTTGACTGCGGAAAGTATTTAGGTATCACTTTGTGCGAAGTTTGGGGCATTGTCGACGGCAACTTTGACCACCTACCCCATGGCGTTGTGTCAAAAGCGCTTGTTCGGCTGCTGCCAATCCCGCTCATACTGATGCTGTCACCAGATTTGACCCCTGACGATCCAATTCCTCAGGATCCTCACGCGCACAGTCAGCAGAATTGAAATGTTGAAACACGCTTTGCCGCCGTTTGTCTCATTGAATGAGAGCCACGCAAAGGCATCAGATTGAATTGATAGCTTCCGCTGAATGGTTGCCTCAAAAGGAATACTGAGGCAGAACCATCGTGGTCACGGCATTTGTTTGTGTGTGTTTGTGTTAGCTGGCGTGCCAGGAATTCTCTGGGTCATCAAATGCGCTTATTGCATATACTTGCTGACTGCAGCAAACGCTTGCAGTTCTTGTTGTCCAGTTCGGATCATCGGCGCATTTTTTCTGGATGCTCAGAAATGCCAGGCTTCCAAGGTGAAGCTTGCAGAATTGTTTGGTGCCTGAAAAGTGATCGTGACGGGATCCTCTCAATTGCGGCCGGGAAATTCAGAACCTTTGGGACACCTGTGCTCAGGTGGATCAAAAGCAAAGCACTGGCGGCTTTTGGCAAGGAGTGTGTGCACCTCAGCACCGGCGAGTCATGCCCACCCCGGCACCCTAGTCTCCACTGCGCCCGAGGCGTGGCGGTCTCAAGCATGTGGGCAATGCTTTAAATCATGCCGGCAAGCTGAACCAGGCGGGCAGAGCCGTGCCGATCATGCGTGGAGAAATCATCCAATCACTACTACACAACCCAGCTGCTCCTGATGCGAAAATGCTGATGACTTGGAGTGACACGGTTTCTCCTGACGCATATGTTTGATGTGAGAACAGTACAGCACCTATCCAGGGTGAGTCTGGGATGTGATTGCTGAAAGCCAAGATCAGCCAAGGAGGAATGAAACTCTCGGAAGGGGACACCGCAAAGATAAACCCCCATTTGGGCTAGGAGTAAGACAAAGGGAACAAAGCTTTTGGATATTGGCTGTAATATATACGAATGCGTCAAATAGACACCCAAGTTAGGAAGAATGTTGAAACTCAATGTGCCCAGAACAGAACCCTGAACACCAAACTTACACTACTGCACACGTTCGGTGCCTGCTAGGCCTGCTATCTACACTTCTACACCAGACTCCCTTGCTTTCCTGTAGGACCGATATCTCTGCTCCACAGGTAGACCACCCCCTCAGTGCTGGAGGCTTGGCGCAGGCACAACGAGCGCACACAGTAGCGCACGCTAAGCTTCACGCGTGAAGGAAGAAATGACTCAAGGTGTATTCGACCATTTGTTTGGGCACTTTGTCCCGTGCGAAAATGGGAGGTTTGGGGGACCTCCAGGGGCAGTCTGTGGGACCCATACGGCGGGAAGCATCGAACTGTGAGTTGCAGCGGTTTATGGCTGAAGGCAAGGCAGCTGAGACAGCAGATTGCAGCACTCGCCAGCGACAGCCAACCATCCCAGGCACTGCGGTCCAGCTACCGGTCGCGCCGTTGAGGTCCGTCACACTCATTAAGGAAGGGTGTGTGTCGAAATCGGCCTCCAATAAACCTTTGGGGAAACCAAACTAACATGAATTAGTTATATATATATATAAGTTTCCCTCAAAATCTAGGAACCAAATGAATAGTGCGCGCGCGCTGTCCTGCGTCCAGTTAGTAGTAGCTTTCTTGTAGCTACTAGCTACCTCTCCCTACTGACTACTTCCTACCTCTACTCGCGGCCTACCCCCCTCTATTAAAACAAGCATTGGTTGCAGGCCTGTATATACAGCTTTGTCACGTGTCCGGCTAGTCCAAATCCCTCTCTCGCTTTGGGATCCAAGGCTGCCAGCTCCTTACTCCGCTGCAGGAGAGGGGAGAGAGGTTCAGAACAGCGAGCGCTGCGGACCGATGGATGGGTGGGGTCAGCTGTTTGCGTTTCAGATTCTTGTCCAACAAACAGCTTGCTCCCCATCAAAAACGTCAAGCCTGCTCCCCAATGTCGGCTGTGCACTTCAGGGATTTGAAGCAAACCTAGTGGAGATACGGCTTGAATTGAAGGCTTTTGGTCAACAGCCGGAGACTGGAAAGGAGAGGATACGCTTGAATTCAATGTTAACAACTAGTAGGCGTGTTAAACAAACTATATAATTACCGTAATTTGACAGTCTTCCAGTCCGGACACTGTACAAGTCAAATCGTCAACCAATGCTCACCTTCCAAACGTGGAACGAGGATTGTGGCTTCTTAAGTTTCTGAGCCCCAAAGAAAAACAAACGAAGAGAAAGAAGCAATAACCAAGATCTAAAACCTAGACAAGGCTGAAACTGCCACCGCTGTCCGTATGCTTCGAGCTAATGGCAGCCCGTCGAGCTCGCTGGCAAGAGCATGACTTCTACGACATTCTGGGTGTCGCGCCGGACGCCAGCCCAGATGAAATCAAGAGAGGTTTCAGGAGCGCTGAGTGCATGTATGAGTGTGTATTAGAATAGGACGAATAGATATGGATAGAGGATTTCGGTGAGTCTGGCAAAAGAAATAATAGACTGAGATAGACAAGGCCCTCTCTATTCTGATGCACGCTCATGTTTCAATATTAGAAAGAGGTTCGGCTGAAATCAACGTGCGACACTTGCACAGATGCATGGCAGGAAGATCGCTCTCACCTGCCATCCTGACAAGGTGCGAGTCCAAAGTGAGAGCTATTTGCTTTGTTTCCACAGAATTTCCCCATAGAGATGTTTCTTGCCCATGTTTGATTTGTAGATCTTTGTGGAAGGTTACTCCCCAAGATCCTGCAGTTCTTTGAAAATAGGCCCATGGAACATGTGGTTCATTTACAGGCCCGTTCCACCCCTCAGGTCCGGGAGCAAGAGAAGGAGCTGGCCACGAAACGTCGCGCGGCTGCGCTCGGAAGATGTCAATGCGCACGGATCGGCTGCTCCATCGTGTGTCGCCCCTACTTGGGGGAAAAGAAGATCGAGAGATATGAATTAACTGTCAAAAAGAAAGCTGGGCGGATCGTCGGCTGGATCGTTTTTTTGGTGCGTCTTGGGGCCGGTTGGAGAGGCAGCCTTTTCAAAGTCAAACAGTGGCACGTGCTGCAAATGAACCGGCCGTTGCCTTTGAACATCTAGCACCATGGGCCTTGCTTGGCTCAACTGCATCGAAAATGGTCTTGTGTCATGCAGGCTTGGCCAACACACACTAGGGCTTTGAAACAACACTGTCCAAATGGGCAAGCATCGGGGTTAGATGACACGCCATGACATTCTAGACCTCCAAGAATCCAGCAAAAAGAACGAAGACAAAAATCAAACCCTCCATTTGTCAAGCGCTGTCTCCACCGGAGACACCGGAGGCCCCCATAAAAACGCCGTCCCCACGCACGGCGTCGCCACACGCCTCGCTGAGGTTTTCAGCTCATCGCGGAGGCTTATGAGGTGCTCTCGAAGCCCCAATCACGGCAAGAATATGATGAACTGCACTCAGGTCGGAGCAGAGAGAATACGAAGACTTAGAGATACTCAGCAGACGTTTGATGGACAAGAGGACTGAACGCAAAAAAACGATGTTCAGGATTAAGGAGGTAGGATTTGCTGGCGTCTTATCTAATCTTATCTAACCTATATGAATACGAAGCCTCTGAGAACATGTTGGGAACATACCTCGAACATTTGGTATGGAGATGTATCGGGGAGTTCTTATCTGCAATTTCTTACATGGCGCATCATAGTGCAAAGGATGCAATAGTATGCATTATTGCGATTGCTGCATCCATGCTGACCACGAAGATCTAACATGGTTTTAACCTATGTATATATGTGTTTTCTATTGTTTTCGAATTACGATTTCCTGCACTAATCTAAATTGTTTGAAACGGCTGATGAAACGCAACCCGCCGTTAGACGAGCAGTTGCACTCAGTAACCTGATCTGACATACGGTTGCCTCGAAGTTCTTCCATGTCTCCCGGTGACTTTTTTGCGTAGACACTTCGATGTGGAAGACTTCTAGTCTGGCCAGCGAGAAGGGACGTGTCGAGAGTGCCACCTTGGCATGCGCAGGTCAGGACACAGTGGTACCACCAACGAAAGGCGCGACCGGCACTGGCAAAAGTAGCCAGCGCTGGCAACGTTGCAAGGCAGGGTGTTGCTATGGCATGGGAGAATTTGCTGACAGTACAAACGAAGCCCAGATTGGCAGAAGCAGCATAAGTGTAGTCGAGTCTGAAGGGTTGATGTGACATTTGAACATAATTGAACTGTTTGTCAGGGCTGCTTCGGGCGCTTTCCACAGAAGGAGCACAAGATCGTCCATCAGCCTAGTGTCATGTCGTGTTTTGAAGGCAAGATGCAATTGCTTGGAGTTGGGCCGGGTCACAGGACCTGCGGCGCTGCGCTCCAGCTTGCAGCCGACCAGTGTGTTTCAGTTGCGATTCTTGTTCCACTTGTGCCTTTGGCAAAGATGGAGCGTCGTCAAGCCGTGTCAAAACGAAGGTATATATATATATAATTGCTTTTTCTTCACTGTTCGAGCGTCGGATGCTGGACCGACGCCCAGGCAATAAGCAGCCAGAGGCCAAGGAGTCCAAGGAGCATGGCTTTATCAGATGCCAGGCTGCAGCTATCGCCAATATGCACAATATGCTATCCTCCCTCCAAGAACTATGGTGACCAATGGTGAATATGTTTCACATCCCTCCCTCATAAGAAAAGCAGTGAATGGTGGACTAGACCCAAGCAATGAAGAGGATGTGATGGTCGAAGAGTGTGGGCCCAAACCTTCCATCAAACCCAGTTGGTTGGAGGGAAAAGGAGCACGATTTTGGACGCAAAGTGAACATCGAAAAGAGAAAGGCTGATCCTGAGCGTTGTTATCCTCACCTCCACCTGGGAAAATGCTTGTGTTTGTGTTCTGGAACACTCATGTTCCTGGAGAACGTGTTGCTCGCCCCACTTTCCGCCCCAGAAAGTGGTATGACCTTCGTGGCGGCCTATGACGCGTGCGTCTTCCCGGCGCCCCATTCCTGGAAAGTCCTCTACAAAATCGCTCAAGGGACGCGTGTCACTGTGGCGGGGACGCCCAAAAGTTGCGATGGAGATATCATGGCTCCCTGGCAGCGCAGGGTTGCGCACGTGACGCGCCGGAACACCGCTCTTTCGAGGTACCCTGAGGGCATGGGGACAGAGGCAAACATTGTACAAACAGGAGCCTCTCAGGCATAGCTATTTCAGATGATTTTGGAGCATTTTTTGGACTAGCCAGAGCAAAAACACCGTTGTCCTTGGAGAGTTGGTCGTGGTGAACGTGGGTCTCTGAGACTTGCTGCATCGCGGTGAGCCAAGGTTCCAATCCAGCCCAAGGCCACGGCGGACTTGGCCAGTTTCACATTTATCTTGGATGGTTTATGAAAGACTTTCAACATGCTTTGCACACTTGTCCTCTTCTGGGTGGGGATGCTTCATGATCTTCATGACGTTTCGTCACCCTTTGCTTTATCTGCTTTACTCCTGGTCAACACTTTCAGAAACGTTTGAAGACTTGTAAGCTCAGCCGGATGTCCTTCTCTTCAGGTGTTCAAATCCTCAAGCTCTTGAGAGACTGGATGCATCTGGAAGATTGCTCAGAGTCTAGTCAGAGGCCTTTGTAGCTAGGTGGATCCATTCGATGAACTCAATGATTGCATGCTGCCTCAGCTACCTGTTTCGGATACTCCACCTTTGCCAATGTGCCAATGTCCTCCCTACTCCACATTCTGCGTCCTCACTCCGTCGCGCCTCGGACACCAGGGTTGGATCGACATCGTGGACCTCACCATCACACGTCCAAGACCCGAGCCAAAGCCGAAGTCAAAGACAGGCGCGGCGGCGCGGTGCGTTGTTTAGTGGGAAACTGCAGACACTTGCAGACACGGCAGCCGAAGTGTTTGGCACCTGGCGGACATGAGTGGATACTGAAGCGGCCGGGGCTGTTGGTTTGTGCGTGTGTTTATGGTGTCCTCTTTGTGCTTGTTTTTGACGCATGTCACATGCCCTTCTGTCGCACTCTCACTCACTCTCACTCACACTCTCACTCTCACTCACTCTCTTTCTCTCACTCACTCACTCTCTCCCTCTCTCTCTCTCTCTCTCTCGGGGCTTGGTTGTATTCTATGCTTTGCCGGCTGGAGCATCAATACCTTTGAGAAGTGACAGAGGCCCAGCCCAACTAACCTGACAAACCCTAAACCGCCGTGCGTTGAAACTTTGAGCCCAAAGCCATCCAAAACCATGGCAAGCAATGAATACCTTCATTCTATTGGGTGTTGACTTGCGGACCGTTACCACGCCCAGACCCACATCAGCATGACCCCAAATAGAGAGCCCAAAAAAATAAGGCTCTTCTTTGCAGGTGGAGATGAATGCGATGCGGTTCACCATCTCCAAAGCAATCAACATGTCTCATGTAATTGATCCAGCGTTGGGCTGCACGTCCAAAAGCCCGAATAAACACATGACACGCTGACATGCCTGGTAAACCGTTCTGATTTGTTTTCGTGGTCAACAAGCGTTTTAGGGAAATATAGAGTTTTTGTTGTCATCTCTTATCCTTTGGGCCGATGGTAGCAGCTCGCCTTGAAATGCTTTCAAGCCGTCTGGGCCGCAGGTCCTCAGCGAGTTCCTACTGCTCCACGTCCGGATGTGAATGAAGTTTGGGTTCGGCAAAAGGCTCAGAGCAAGGAGGACCCCATTGGAGAAGCACAAACGAAACACTTCTCAGTTTCCTTAGGAGTTGGATGGGGAAGTGAATCTTGCATTGGGTCCATGTTGTTTTGCGATGTTTTCGGCATATTTTGGTATGGTGAAAACACTTGCCAGCTGGTTGCCCA